CTGGTGATTGCTAGAGCTCTTGAAAGGGCTGTATACAACACACATGTCAGACTCGTCATGGAGGATCACCTAAGCAGAGGCCAATTCGCGTACAGAGTTGCGTATAAAAGCGATCTAAACACAGTACAGAACTTTTTAAACATGTTACAAGCGGCGTTATATTTCAGTTCCATTGAATGTCAAGGATATCACGCATATGCAGGATGAGAAATTAGTGTAGCTAAGGCCCTAAGCCATCATTCATTCAATAAAACTCTGCCGAAGCCTAAACCCCAGCAATATAATTTACGCGCAAGGTCTGCCTCCGCCCAAACATTAACACAGAACGTTTCATGAACAAATTTGTGAATAGACTAGTTTTTGAACACAACCTGTTAAAATTACATTATTTAATTTTGGCCATAGTATATTATTGTAGCTATCATTACACAGTTTCTTGCTTATGTTGCATAGGATATTTATCTTTTATCTCATGGTTTACTAAAGACTTCCAAGACTTCAAAGAAATGGCCTCTTAGGAAATTGTGCAACAGCGTGCGTTTTTGATCTTCTTAATAAAGTAAGTACTTTTGTTGCAACGAAGATGCAACCTCTGAAAATGTTAGCATAATATACACGTTAAACAAGGGAGATCACAGTCAAGTGTAACTTTCAATCCTAGATCAGTGTTAATCGCTTTCTGAACAACTATGTCCTCCGGGTTTTTGTATATCCCATGTTTTATTTTTCCTTAGTTTTCACTCCATTTTAAAGAGCTGAATTGTCTCTTACGCTTAAAAATATTTTTTCCAACTCCTTCAGGTGGGATCGCCAATTATTCAGTATAATTTAGGTTCATGACAGCGAGTGATAGCGCCGGCAGATGATTAAAATTGATGAGGAGCGGGTTGTTTTGCAAAAAATAGAGAAGTTGTTAGCCTTGATGATGATTATTGTCAATGCAGTAAGACAAACGTTCACGTTCTGTCTCTCGTCCACACTTGACTGCCGGCCATCTTTGAGACTTTCTCAACAGATTAATATCAATCATTACAGCGAGTCAAAATAGATTTATTTTCAAGGGCATAAAACATAATGGAACATTGGTCCAAACCTACCATGTTTATGTTTCTAACCCGTTCTAATCACTGAAAACTGAGAATTGTGTCTATTTACCAACATATTTTCGTTGATCCTTTTTTGAAACGACCAGGGTATACATTTTTACGAAAGAATCGTAAGAAATCACCGGCTTGGGTGAAAAAATTTTAAAGCAAATACAAAATATGTTATTTGAGCTGACAAGGGCATTCTCATGTTTACGTAAGATTAACATACAACAAAAAATATGCAAAGTACACGCGACTTCTATCTTATGCACACATTCGGATCGGGTCAAGGGG